GGGGGGGGGGGGGGGGGGGGGGGGGGGGGGGGGGGGGGGGGGGGGGGGGGGGTAGACTCATGTAAACGCATGCCGTAGTCGCTTCACCATAGACCTCGCATCCGCACAATCCGTAGAGTACACGGACGGAGCGATCTGAGAGAGGGTGGTCTATACACCAGAAACTCGACGCGATCGACTTCGTTGTGATGGCTCCGTGAGCAAGCAAGTTGCTTCTACAGCATTACACCGACAATGTGGTGGCACTACGAAGGTACCTGTGGGAGAGAGGAAATAAAAGAGATACAAAGAGAGGGAGAGGTGCACCGTGGTATTCAGCGCACTTCACGCACGACTGACAATGCCCGTCAACGATCGAGGTCTGCTCCTACACCCATCTACCATGCGCTGCCGCTGCTGCGTCTCGGAGCTGATCATTTACCTGGTAATCGTCTAATTGCTTCTGGGTCGGCGTGCAGCGGCATCCGTCGCTGGCCGAGCTTCTCGGTGTGCTGTCATAGCCCTTCCATGGCATGATGATACATGGTGAAAGTGAGGGGGGCGGCAGAGTCCGCCGAACGCAAACAAGGGAGAGGTGTCGTTGTCAGATACCAGCAGTATGCCTTGCTGAGGCAGGGATATCGACATCGAACAAAGGACAAGAAATGGACGGATGTACATACCGCAAACGAGGAGGGATGCCTACTTCAAACAAAGGACGAGGGATAGACCTTATTCTGAGGGAGGGATGTCGACACCAAACAAAGGACGAGAATGGAGGAATGGACCGCAAAACGAGGAGTGGGAGGGAGGGACGGAACCATGCAAAAGATGCAATGCTTCAAATACCCCTTGCTGAGCATCGGAGAGTTTGTACCACGGCCGTGCGATCGTTTACTATACGGACCACCCTGATGAATTTTAAGTAGAAAATATAGATGCAATCAAAGAGAGACTGCACGGGTTCGAGAAATAACCACAATCGAAGGGGATGAGCTGAAGTCCTTACAGCGGTGAGCGGGAGAAAAACCGGTTGAACACGGGGCTTGTAATTGTACTAGTCTATTATTAAGATTTCATATTTTTCGTACACTGGGTGGCGGCGGTGTTACCCGAGTTTTTCTTCGCTTGGAAACACCAATACACCCATTTGAGTCTCGTTTTCAGCCGGGGAGTCTTGTCCGCCAAGTTGAGGGTTAAGATCGTACACAGCACGCCTGGTTCGTTGGTCTCTTCGACCCAAAGCATGCCAGCTGCTGTTTCGTTGTTGTTGTTTCTCACATAAGCTCTAGACTTTAGACTAGTCCACAAAAATGGGCAGCCCGTGGTCGCAAAACTGTGTGACTTTGGAATTGTTTTCCTCCGGAACATGTGCCGTAGAAGAGCCGCCACCCCGAGGTGCGACGAAATTTCATGCGTCATGCGGCCGCATTCAAGGGCCACAGCACAAGGGATAAAAAGAAAAAAAGAAAGTACATATTACACAACCCCTCTGTGTGATCTCCGATGCCCACGCCATGTCATCACCGCTCTCGACTGACCACAACGCGCAACAGGTAAAATGCATCACGAGGGATTCCTGAAAGGTACGCAAATGATTCTCATCTCATGGCAGGGTGGGCATGCGTTGAATGGACAAGACTATTAATAGACTAATATTAATAGACTAAATAGTCTCAAGATAACAAATGTACACCTGCTCTAAGATAATACGCGGCAATAACAACATACTTCAACCGTGCTCTAAATAACACCACGTTCCAATGTACGCTGAATAAAACGGCGTGCGTTCAACTCTTCACGGCGAGGGTCTGGGAGACAGCTGCCGGATGACACTGGACCCCTGGGCCGGCCGGTGGTGTTACGTGTTATATTACAAGGTCTGAGAAAAAAAGAAAGCCGTGATGCGGAGGAAGGCGGAATCATTTAGGTAGGTATACAACCATCTCTCTCAGCTACGTCAGCGACAGAAGTGCTTGTGGTGGAATGGACCCCTCGGCTGTGTGGTGAGCCACAAAAAATTCTGCTCTCTCGGTAACTCATCGACATGCTGCTGTACACAGCAGTACCTTGACAGCGTTCCTGCCAAATTGACCGAAAAATGGTGCTTTCCGATCAGAAGTACTTTTAGTGTAGGCAAGCTGGCCAGAGACGACGAGTATTTCGTGCTTTGGTGAAAGGCGAGGCGGCGTGGTAAGTTCGAGACGGAGAGGACGTGCATGAGACCCGATCAGCGTGCGCCAAAGATTGTGCGGTCTGCGCCAGAAAAAGGGGTGCGTAGCTCTTATGTTATTAGAAGACATAAATCGTCGACGTGGCCCGCAAAGTGGAATGTTTCCAAGCATGAAAAAAAAACAGCCCCTGTTGCCCTGCTGCTGTAAGAGGAGCCCCAGTCCATGCTGCTACCCATGCCCGCCGCCAGCCCCATCGGAGGTGTCGTCTATCTAGACGACCGCAAGGAAATAACAGCAATGCTCTGCCTGCCTGATACGAGGTTCGCTGAACAACATAACACGAGCGCGTGGTCGCAGCCAGCAAACCCCCTTACGTTCTGCGGCGGGTGAACCGCGCCCACATCACCCCAGAGAGTTTCTATTTTTTACGGTTGATCTTGCTTTTTTTTGGACAATGCGTCGTGCCGTGTGCGACTTGAACTCCTCTGCTGCCGCTGGTAAGGGTACGCGAGGTGTGCGTGCGGGAATTCCGTTCCATTCTCTCTCTGTCGAAGATCATCGCCGGGTGACAGCTGCTGTGATTATTTTTGAATTAGTTGGTGTAGCACGTTGAAGAGGCGAAACCGAGGACGTTGATGAGGTTGAAGTCTTGATGCGGTTCAAGATCCAGGCAACCATTTCTACACCTACGCCACAGAGGTGCCACCTGCGCTGAGCGCACGCGTGTGCTAGCCTCAACGGGCACATGCCTTGCGCAAATACTCCTTAAACAGAGCGTTTGTTTGGAAGCTTTGAAGCGATTACACGGGTGTTTGCTGTACGGTAGTTGTGCGTTAGACTAGTCTCTCGCAATAAATTCGGTTTGTACGGAAATTATCCACAGATCCCCGTCATCGCTCGACACGGACAGACAACAAGTCGCCTTTGTTTTCGCCACCGTCACAATCGAGCGAAGAGCGGTGTTCTGTAACGACTGAGGTTACTCACGCAGAAGTGGCAAAATGGCGGGATAAGATTACACACAAACGTGTCGCAGTATGTCGACAGCGACCAGGATTTCTGTGGGGGGGGAGCGGAGGGATACGGAAGACAAAAAATATTCACAAAAACACCCAGGAGGCTTGGACCTTCATTTCTCCTTGCCTCTTGTTCCGTTCAAGAAGCGCCCAAGGCCAACGAGTACCGTACCGGGCTGTGTTCAAGCTGCGGGCGCTGTTGTTGCTCGAATTCTCTCTAGCGCTGCTGTCCGGAAGCCGAAAACAAACAAGCCAAGCATGCATCTTAGGTGCCGACGCACGACGGCCGGCAGTCCGGCGCATATCTTTATTTAATGTCTCACCCTTTCAAGCAGGATCGCCTCCAGGTACGCCTGAGGAGAGGTCACGCCTTTGACGCTCGCCACCGGTGACGGTGGGCTGGGCCTCTGTATCTCTGTGTTCTGCTGCTCTTGTCTGAACTCCCCGCCGCCTGACGCCTGGTAGCCCTCGTCTTGCCCGAACCCCTGCTGCTGCTGCTGCTGCTGGAAGTACATGTACCTCCAGTCAGACTCGCTGGACGACAAATTAGGAACCCCTCCGGAAGCGGCTCTCGCTGCGAAGAGATGCGCGGCGGCCGGCGAGACGTATCGCACTCCACCGTCTAGCTGTATTCTATGTGCGCTACCCATTCGAGAGCGGAAGCGGACAAGAGGTGCCGGCGGGCGTGTGTGCTGTGCGTGTGCACACCAAGAGGCAGCAGTGGAGGAAAATCGAGAATACGTACTCCAAAAAGGGCAACGTGGCCAACAACCCACGGAAAAACAGCGATCAGCGATCGTTGATATTTGAGATTCCGGCTGGGCTATTACGCCGCTGGCCGTTGATGGCACGGGAGCGGGCCAGCAGCGTGTTCTTCAGACATAAAAACAGCAGCGGGTTCCCGCACGTGCTGCTGGCCGCGCTAAAGCCTGCCCGGGGGTTTTAGTGTCGTCCGCGTTGCGTTGGCACACAGAGCTAGGCTCCCTTCACCACATGTCAATTGTGAAACAAGCTGCTGCGCTGACGTCGCCCCATCCGTCTGCGTAACCACAGACGAGCTGGGCTATTCGGCTACCAGAAATGTTCGGCGGTTCTGCCGTTGCATAATGTTTCTCCTAATAATACGTATGCATACAACAACAACAACTAAGTACAATATATCCCCAGAAAAGAAGAAGGATGAAGATTGAAGGTTGACCTTTGATGTCACCCGACAGATTGCAGCCGGGCTGTTCGCAAATGCGGCGCTGTAGAGAGTAAGGAGGCGTCATCTTCGCCCGCGGGAAACAAAGGAGACCCACCCCCCGCCCCTTCCTCTCGTGCGTTTGTTCTGCATGCACGTTTGTGTGTTGTGTGTGTCGAAGCGAGAGAACGCCCGCGCGACATGTCATCATCATCATCATCTTCGTCGTTGTCATCACCATGGTCATCGTTGTCTTCGTTTTCATCGTCTCCGTCTACGCGGCGCGCAAGTAGTGTCGCGGATACCGGAGCCGGATCCGAGCGAAGATGCAGCAGGCGGCATCATCGTAAAACACACGCTACTGCTGCTGGTGCTATGGAGCGAGAAGAAGCCGTGATCCCAAGCGCATGTAGGCATACACCGGTGAGTAGCGCGAGAGTGTTTCTTCTGCGACCTATCGCCTACTGCTGTAGTTTTTGGAATGATGCGCATACATCCTATATCTAGACTAATATACACTACTCTTTATTTTTTTTTCCTCCTGTCATTGGCAACAGACGTCTGTCCCTCTGGCCCCCATCCTCGACTTTTACTAGCTAGACGACCCAACCGAGGTCACATAGGAGGGAGGGCTTGGACCCCCTCCTGCGGTTCCTGCCTGAGGTATGTTTATCGCGAGAATGGTACAGCAATCCCTTCCCTCGCGGCTTGCGAAGTCGGCCAAGTTTACCAACAACGAGCTTTCTTTGCAGAGCGTCGCTTCCGACCTAGCACAGGATTTACTTACTATGCCGGAACTCGAACCCATGAGCTCGCCATTAGTAGGCTGCGAGGGCACCCACTAGACCACCGGGGCGACTCGTGTATGTGTGCATAGAGTAGCTTCCTCTCCATATCGACTTCTACTACAGCACACATGCAAGTACACCTGTACACCTCCCCCCCCTCGGCCTGCTCCCCGGCCGGGGCCGAAATCGACCTAGTGAGTTCCGCTCGGGCGAACCAGGCCACAACAGATAGTAGGCGGGTGGTGTCCCAAGGTGCAACTCACCGCCGCGCTGGCTCAGCGTGGCGGTGAGGATGCACAGACGGTGGTAGTGGCGAGAGGTGTGTATGGACACTGTTCCCGCGGCAGTAATGCAAAGCGGCAAACTGCACCTGGCAACCACCGTCGCGGAAAGCGTGGCCCACGAAGCTGGAGGAGTAGAGAGATTCGTAAATACCACGTCAGTAAGCACCGCTCGCGGGAGAAGGGAAACAACCGCGGGCTCCGCGGGGAGGGAGTGCTGCACCCTCCTCGTCAAAACACCACAGGCAAGAACCGAGCTCTGCAGAGATGGATTGATGCGAGGAAACTCGCCGCTCGGAAAATACGGAAGAAAGCACACCCGCAACGCGAGGTGGACCGAGAGAGACACGAGACCGCAGCGGCCGTCAAGGCGGCTGCGAAGA